TCCAAGTTTCCGGTGGTGGCGGTGGAGTCCCCGGTGTTAGGCGAATAAGACTGGGCACAGACTAGGAGAAAATATGTATTTTTAATCAGATCTCTGATAAAGGCCTTCTATTCAGAAAATATCAAGAAGTCTCCAAACGCAAAAAGCAGCAGCCAACTAATGATGAAAATGGGCAAAAGATGGAGCGGTTCTGTACTGCTCCAACATGGCGGTCACACAGACCCACACGTGATAAAATGACATCAGACTGGGTAGCCCGCCACCAAGTAGATTCTGACCCATGGCGACCCCTGTGTGACAGAAGAGAGCCGGGCTCCCTATGTTCCTTTTCAAAATAGTGGCTCTGTTGTGTGTGCAGCAAACTTGACACAGCAAACTTGTCCTCCTTTAACAATCTGTGCAACATTCGTTACATTTTTAAAAACACGTCAACACTCCTTTTCCTTGTGCTACGGTTGTTCCGTTCCCAACACTCTAGTCCCCCCCACCTTTTTTTTTTCTTTCTCATTTTGCTTAAGATTCACTGTCGGTCTCATTTTGGCCTCATGTGTTGTTGCTTTTAGATCCCATGGAGTCCGTTCGACACACAGCGACCCTATGTACAGCAGAGCAAAACACTGCCTGGTCCTGCACCAGCCTCACAGTTGTGTGATGCTTGTGCCTATTGGTGCAGCTTTGGTCAGATAGAGATGGCTTTGAAATGAAGCTCCACACCCGTGGATCCATTCAAATGCAGACCCACTGCCAGGGAGCCAATTTGCCAGGGTAGAACTGCCCCTGTGGGTTTCAAAGACTAATTCTTCATAGGAATAGAAAGCCTCCTCTTTCTCCCACAGAGCGCCTGGCGGTTTCAAACTGCTGATCTGATGCTTAGCAGCCCAGTGCACTAGCCACTCCACCACCAGGGCTGCCCACACTCATGGATCATTGATTCTGTGTACCATTCTGTTATTTCACTACAGGGTTCATGTGTTGTTGGCCACCTACCTCCCAGCTGTCTCATGATCTAGGGA